CCATGGGAACAAGCTAAAAGATGGCTGCTGGTTTAACGAGTAATCTGCAAAATGCATATGTACAGAGATATACACAGGAAATCTATAAGGACATAAAGAGTGTGCAGGACAGAAGGATGGAAGGAATTCAGAGAGGAGTCTTGAGTCTTTCTAGAAAGGTTTTACCACAAGATATGTTTGAGATAAGGAGTTGGTTTTAGGCATTGTGTCTCAATATTCCTTGTTTGATCTTTTAAAGCTATAATCTGTAACATGTCCTCATTAAACAGTGTATAAGCTCTGGCTCTGTGTTCTATATAGTTGAGTTCTTCCATTATCCCAAATGTTTCCAACAATGTTCAAACTCAGAGAAATCTGTCATTTTATTCAGGTAACGCTGCGTTTCACTGGTCGCCTGTTGATGGCGTCATATCCCCTTTGTGCCTGCGTCTGTGGTTGTCTGCCAGAAGCTGTCATACATTGACTGTTTATCCAGTCTGAAGCCACATTGTTACCATCCACTGTTTAGATCTTGGTGCTTTTTAACTCTAGATTTGAACCGGATGAAGGATTTTAGTCATCGGACGTCTGGATCTTAAGTTATCAGAGAAACAAGCTGAGCTAACGTTAGCAGCAGCTCGGCTCGCAGCCCCTCCGGGACGTCCTTTGTCTGTCCAACAGCGTGGGAGAAGCAGTGATTGTTAAGGTGGAACTGCTTTATTCAGTGTGTTTAGTGGTTTTAATCAGCGGGTCTGTTTGTTTTAAAGAGGAGGAGTCTGAATACTGTGTATTCTGTGTTTCTTAGTTGGTTTTATGTTTTACTTGTATATCCAGCAACGTTTATTTTCTATGACATATAAGTTCATTATTGAGCTTGGAAACGGCAATCCTTGAAGTCCAAGTACTGTGTTGCTTTAAGCTTTGAGCTGTGATATATCACGATGTAAGTGGAACATTGAGGAGGCTATACAAAGAAGAGACATACACCTGACAGAGATTTAGCTTGTAGCAGTGAAAGGGTTGTGACCAGGAACTGTGCAGAGCCAAAGAAAGACTTTATTGTTGAGTACATTTTTACAGAATTAAAGGAAATCATTTCCAGATAGTACATTGAGAAAAGTGGACAGTTTCCATGAAAAGAACAAGAGACTTCTCTGTCCTTAATATGGAATAAATGAGCTGCAACAATTAATCGTTTAATCATTTTTTAAACGAAATGCAGGTTCTATCCTCAATGTTCTGCTTTGTCGTTTGGTTTTACTCATCAGCGGTTTGGTTTTGGTTCTAATCGTTCTGTATTTCTGCTGTCGTCACGATAAAAATAGAAAGCTAATAAGTGGAACATGAGTGTTGTGAAAGCGCTGAAGAGGTTTTGGTTTTGTCGTTACAGCGTGCTCTGAAGCTAACCATGAATATGTCGTTTATTCTGAAGTTTAAACGAGAGTGAGGAAGGCTGGACGGACAGAAATAAAGAGATGTGCAGTGAGTTACATTCTGTCTTTGTTGTCTTCTCTCCTGCGATGAGGCCCACTGTCTTGGAGGTCAACTCTATTGTCTGCAGCTCTGTGTGCTGTCAGGGTCGACGAGACTGTGATTGATGGCACTTACAGCTGCTCTGTGTGTGTGTGTGTGTGTGTGTGTGTGTGTGTGTGTGTGTGTGTGTGTGTGTGTGTGTGTGTGTGTGTGTGTGTGTGTGTGTGTGTGTGTGTGTGTGTGTGTGTGTGTGTGTGTGTGTGTGTGTCTGTTTGCATTGAGAGAACCCGAGTGAGTGAGATCTGGTTAATGACAAGCTCTAGTACTCTTTCTTTCCTCCTCCTCCTCTTATCATTTTCACAGAGAATGGTTCAGCAGTGCTGAGGCGGACTTGTGAGTGGCTATAAATAGAGGCTGTGTGAGAGAGAGAGAGAGAGAGAGAGTGAGTTTGGGGAGGGGAAGCCCGTTTTGGGATCCAGCTGGATGAAAGCCAGGACTTGGCTGAGAGGAGGAAGGTCTGAAGGCCTTGGTCACACCAGCATTTAAAAAAATGTAGAAATTACTCGAAGTAAATCTGAGCACTTTTACACCAACATGATGGAAAAAATGTATCTGTGAGTCATCATAAAGACACATTCTCAACACACAGACTTATTATCTAAAAATAATGACTTCTAACAATATAATACAAATATAATATATATTATTATTATTAATTGATGTTCAGCCTTTATGTCATGGTAACTTTATTTGTTCTGAGATTGATTAAAACTTCTTCTGTTCATGTGAATATCACAAAGGATTAATGATATGGATCTCTCTGTGTGTGTGTGTGTGTGTGTGTGTGTGTGTGTGTGTGTGTGTGTCCGTGTCCGTGTCCGTGAAGAGTTCCCAGGGCTTTGCATCTCAAAGTTGCCCTATGATCTCAGTAACATGTGCACACACACACACAGTGACCCCTGACCCTCATGTCTGGAGCGCACAAAGGCTCTTAATAATTCGTATGCGGTCATTTTGCATGATTTAGTCACACACACACACACACACA